AAAAAGAAAAAGAAAAGAAAAAAGAAAAACATGCTTTGCTTCTTAATTCATGTATTTTAACTTCGTTACTAGGAGGATTGTCATGCTTTGTAAAAATTAAAGTAATAGCGTCACTGCACTCCAACCTAGGCAACAGAGTGAGACTCCGTCTCAAAGAAAAAAAAGGAAAATTAAAGTAATAGCATGTATAATAAAAATGATTACTGATGGGTAATTAATGTACCTGTATGAAAATTAAACACTTTGTGGAAAAGTACAAGGGATAATTTGGGTACAGGAGAGGAGCAATGTGTCTATGATATTTATAATTTGAATAAACATGGTCTTACTTTATGTTCAGGGGATATTTTGCTTACATATAAACTTAATTGTTTGATGTTATTTTCAAATATAAGGTGATAAATAGAAGGTCTAAGACAGATATCTGAAAACATACTCAGCTTCACACTGTGTGTATCCTGAATCACCTATGCCACAGTTTCCAGATACATCACTCTTTGAATTAAGGTAAGAATAACATTCTGTAGGACCAAACTCTGCTTCTGAAAATAAAAAGGTGTGGCTAGTCATATCAAACTTATATTAATTGAAAATAAATAACAAATACACTTAAAATTCTGAAATGGTTTAACATATTCATTGTACAAAATAAGATCATACTATAACAATCAAAATAAAAACTAGATTTAAGATCACACAAAACCACTTCAATGAAATGCTTAAAAATTGAAAGGACTCTGGTATGCTGTCCAAAGACATATCCTAGACATACTCCAGAGTTAACCACTGTATTCAGTTTAGCCTCTAATCATAGTAAGTCTATAAATGCATATCATATCTATTAGCAGGTAGGAAACTTTTTTCCCATATTGACTTATTTGTCTATTATCAGTTTTAGCATGAATGTCTTTTCAAGTCAAACCACTAACCAATTATCTTATGTTTTACACCATAATTTCCTCAGACCAAAAATATATTGGAGTCACAATTGATTCATTCGCCCTCCCATCATCAAATCCACATGCACAATCTGTATAATTTTAATTGTCATAAGATCCAACCTACATGGCCAGGCACGGTGGCTTACGCCTGTAATTCCAGCACTCTGGGAAGCCGAGGCGGGTGGATCACAAGGTCAGGAGATCGAGACCAGCCTGGCTAACACGGTGAAACCCCATCTCTACCAAAACTACAAAAAAAAAATTAGCCGGGCGTGGTGGCGGGCACCTGTAGTCCTAGCTACTCGGGAGGCTGAGTGAAGTCTCACTAACAGAGTGGACAGACTCAGATCTCAGCAGCAACCCACAGATGCTGTAGTGAACTGAAAAGTAACAGTTCATTTTGTCCCAGAGATCATTTGCAAAGCTGGTTATGGGTAAGAGGTCAAAATTTTAACCTTGGCTAGGGTAGCAAACCATAGCTAGTAGACAAAAAATAGGCCAAAACAAAGAAATAAAGCCAAAATCTACAGATCAAAATGAATTTTAGGTATCCAAGAGAAACTACTGAAAGACAGTGTGATGATAGATTTTATGTGTCAACTTGACTAGGCTATAGTCCCAAATTACTCAATTAAACACTAATCTAGGCATTGCTCTGTAGGTATTTTGTAGGTGTAATGAAGTCTACAATAAGTTTATTTTATTTAGGAAATATTACCCTAGATAATCTGGATGGGCCTGATTTAATTGTTAATAGTTGGAAGACCTTTAGAGCAGGCTTCCCTGAAAAAGAAAAAAATTCTGCCTGTGAACTTCAATTTATGCTTAAAATTTCTATTCTGCCCTTTTAATTGTCTTGCCCTACAGATTTCAGGCTTGCCTAGCCAGCCCTACAATCTCATCTGCCAATTATTTGCATAGATATACATTCAAAATTCTATATACAATAAAATATCTCTATATCTATATCTATCTACCTACAGAGAGGAAGAGAGAGTGCAGAATTACATATCCAAAGAATTCTGTTTCTCTGGTGTAGTTCTGGTTGATAGAATTGATAAACAAAGGGGTCAGTGATGTTTTAACTTGGGCATATTCTCATTTGTTCTCAGTGTCTCATGATAGATGAAAGCCAGCAGGCTTACAGTTAATGAAGACGTCACATCTCTGTTGGAGCTCTGTTAAAGCACTATGCCCAGAGGCAGTCAATAATTTACCAAAATGTTTTATCTAAACTTTCAATTTCCTGGAAAAATCTCTACTACCAGGTGGCTGGGGCTACTTGATTTGATTTAGAGCTCAGTTAAGTGAAAAAAAAAATGAAGAAAAAAAAATCTTGACTTTCAGAGTGAGGTAAATTAGATAGGTTGGTCATGGCATCCCTTAAATGAGAACAAATTTGCAAAATAGATGGCGAGAATAAACCTCCCAACAGTGCACAAACTGCATCCTGGGATACTGGTTAGAACATTCTGCAGCAAGGAGATAAAGGAACGTAAGGGAAAACGCCCAAATTGGTTCAAGCACAGAAACCCATGATTTGTGTCCTTGGAGTGACCTATGCTCATTATAATAGTGAAAAAGGCACCCTTGGGTGGAGAATTAAAATGCTAATGAGAAATGTGATGCATGTACTAGCATGTACAGCAATAGCACATGTGCATTCAGGAGACCCTCCACGACATGCTAAACAACAGTGCCCATGCCCACGCTTTTATGAATAATCATGTTAGACTCCAACAAAGGGAAGTTCCTCAATGCCAACTGACCCTCTTATTCTTGTGCAGTCTGCTCTGATGCAGCTATCAGAGTGTACTTTGCTTTGCAATGAACTTTACTTACTTTCCCTTTGGACTTGCTCTCAAATTCTTTGTGCAGTGAAGTAAAGAATCTGAACCGGTTCACTGACAACAAAGGGCATTACTGAAATAATATACATCTGCTACCAACATCACCAGTGCCTAAGGCTGTGATTTCAGTTGAGGCAAACGAGCTCACTGGAAATTTTAAAGAAATTCCTGGAGAGTTAGATGACTATATGAAACGGAATAACTCAAACCTATTGTTCACTCTGATTCAAATTTGTCAGTCACAAAGTGATTAGCTGTTTTTCAGTTGCCATTGACCGCCAGGTTGCCAATCAAATAACCTGAACCTGAGCAGGCTGGAACTGAAGTCAACCACATGCAGAACCGAAATACTAAAATCTAGGTGCATGGACCAAATTAAGAAGCAAGGGGTCGGATGCAGTGGCTCACTTCTATAATTCCAGCACTTTGGGATACCAAGACAGGAGGATTACTTGAGACCAGAAGTTTGAGACCAACTTGGGCAACACAGCAAGACCTCACCTCTACAAAAAAAAAAAAAAAAAAAAGTGAGCATGGTGACATGTATCTGTCGTCCCTGCTACTTGGGAGGCTGAGGCCGAAGGATCACTTGAGCTCGGGAGTCGGAGGCTGAAGTGAGCTATGACTGTATCACTGTACTACAGTTTGGGCAAGACCCTCACTCCCCTCTTCTCCCAAAAAATGAAGGGAGGAGAGTCCTGTTTTGTTGCAGTAAAAATTTAAAAGCTGAGGACCTGGCACCACCTCTTTGCATGACCCAATCAGAGCCTTTCTCATCTGTCTCATAGTTACCATCTGCCTATATAACCTGCCCCCAGACGCCAGCTTAAGGAAACAGATTTGAGCATTGCCTTTTGTCTCCTTGCTGGTGGACCTCACAATAAAGCTTTCTCTTTTCTTGGAAGCTGATGCTATTAGTATTGGCCTCTATGCATATCTGGAAGTGAACTCATTGCTTGGTAACAATGTAACTGGATCTAAAAAGCTGCACACAGGCCAGGCGCGGTGGCTCAAGTGTGTAATCCCAGTATTTCGGGAGGCTGAGGGAGGCAGATCACCTGAGGTCAGGAGTTTGAGACCAGCCTGGCCAACATGATGAAACCCTGTTTCTACTAAAAATACAGATATGGATTTTTAGCTGGATATGGTGGTGTGCACCTCTAATCCCAGCTACTCAGGAGGCTGAGGCAGGAGAATCACTGGAACCTAGGAGGTGAGGGTTGCAGTGAGCCAAGATTGTGCCACTGCACTCCAGCCTGAGCAACAGAGCAAGAATCCGGCTCCAAAAAATAAAATAATAATAATAATAAAAAGTGGCTGCAGACATACCTAGAAGAGTTCTGAGAACAGAGTTTTCTAGTCATTCCTAACTCTATGATGTTTACGTCCTGCACAAGCAGGAAGTAAAAGCTAAGGCTGTCTTATAAACTGCTTGAAGTTTGAATCTGTCTTCTCACAGAGATACTTTTGGCATAGGGTAGAAAACATATAGCTAAGGCATTAAAAGAAATCTGAAAGACTATTGGCAGCCACTAAATAATGCGGATGTAGAGTACTCCTTAGGAAGCACTCTGGGTCCATATAATGGAGAGAGAAGACTCAAATAAATAAAATCTGAAATGAAACAGAAAACATTACCACTGATACTACAATGTTACCTTGTGATATAAAGAATTATAGGAGACATATATAAATAGAACAACCATATGCCAACAAATTTGATAACAGAAAAAATAAATTCCTAGATGCATCCAACCTACAAATATTAAATTATGAAAAAAATAGAAAATTGAAATACACCAACAATGATTGAGGAAATTAAATCAGTAATAAAAAAGTTTGTCTTTCACTCTCTCTTCTTTCTCTCTGCCTTTCTCTCTCTTTCTGTCTCTACTTTCCTTCTTTAATCTGAAAATCATCCACATTGTGGTACCAAATTACCCATTTTCCCAGGAGAACACTTTTTCATTTTGTAAGTTTCTTTATTTGCATCTTTGTTTTGTTTTTCTTCAAACCAACAGTCATTCCTAATTGTATGTTCATTTTGGTTATTGATAAGTGCCTTGCAATCCCTTTTTACACAGAAATCAGAGTTAGACTTGTGACTTGTTCCAGTTGAGAATAAAGGTGCCCCACCTATCTGTTTCTATGAACATCCTAAATATTTCCTCTGTCAATATTTTTTCTGATATAGGGATGAAATACTGTTGGCATTGTTGCTGTTTCCACATTATTTAGCCAACAATTTTGTATATAGTTTGCACCACGGTTTTCTTTTTTGTTTTTAACGTCAGTGTACATCATGCCTCAATAACTTCAGAGTCCCTGGATTTTCATGAAACTTCCTTATTGTTTCCACAGGTGATTTTGTGCACCTGAATGTGTGTGCCTACATATGTGGTTTAAACTGCATTTATATGACAACTTATAATTCTTTTACTGTCTATAGTCATATTACTTATTCTATATTTACCAAAAAAAAAATGGTGAATATGAAGTAAAAGTGTAGTTTGTGTTCAGTCTACTTTCTTCTTTCTTGAAGTCAGAAGTCCCATAGACTTTAAATCTTTCCCTCTATTATTGTGATGAAAGTCATTAACAACATAATGATTTCACTTTTAATTAAATTAATTTTTAATTTCTAGCTACTGATATTTTTTCTGGCAGTATTCTCTTTTTTTTTTTTTTTTTTTTTTGAGGTGGAGTCTCACTCTTTCTCTCAGGCTGGAGTGCAGTGGCGTGATCTCAGCTCACTGCAACCTCAGCCTACTGAGTAGCTAGGATTACAGGCGTGTGCCACCAAACACGGCTAATTTTTGTATTTTTAGTAGAGATGGGGTTTCATCATGTTGGCCAGGCTGGTCTCCAACACCTGACCTCGGGTGATCTGCCCACCTCGGTCTCCCAAAGTGCTGGGATTACACACGTGAGCCACCACACCTGGCCATATTCTTCTCTTTCTATAATTCTTTAGAATATTTAAACTAAATGTGACATTTTAAAAATCACAGTCATGTATCAGCATCTATTTCTGTTCAGTTTCCAGAAAAAGCACATATATGAGAAATCAAATGATAATAAATACCTCCGCCAAATGTGTCCATACATTGTTTATCCCCACTCATACAAACTCCATCTATACAGAGCCATTGATTCGGTCCACACGGATGCCCAGTCTGAATAAAGTGGTTTTCTGGACATGACGCAGATGTTCCATTGCAATATTCAGGGAGGTCGCATTCATCAAAGGAAGGCCTACATACTCTTTCTTGTGACATAAACTGAAGGGATGAGGTAAATGATATTGAATTAAGCAGAATGAGAATACATAAGCATAATAATGATAACTACTTATGTAGGTAATACTGAAATTGTTCAAAAAGCTCTTACTAGACAATTTTCACAGCATGGTCCTTCAGCACAATTTGAACCGGCTTTAAATCTACATGTGGCAGTATCACAGCATTTGGCTCCAAGAAGGAAACAATTCTGTAAGGCAAATCAAATGATCTGGAGTATTTTCCAACTTGTATTCATATTATAGACATGTTCATAATGACAACATATTATATAACATACACATAGATGCTTAACTTACATGTTTGCAAACAGAAAAATAAAACCACTTACTCATTTACTTAAGAGACATTTATTAATTACCTACTAATTGTCAGACCATGTGTTGCTCATATTGCTTAGAATAGGTTTGGTTACACTGATAAAAGGATTCTCTGAAGCCCTGGGGTCCACCATAGTCAAGTCATTGAGAAGAACTGGCTCTTGTAGATAGAGATAGTTAAATACAAGACGTAAAATAAACAGAAGTTATACTTTAAAAATTCTATTGTAGTGACTACTTATTAGAGCCTTCTGAATCTAACATTTTAACAAGTTTCTGCATTTTGTGGTATATTGTTGATTTATTTCATTTTTAATTCTCTAAGTTCTGGAAAAATGATATTATTTCCGAGAATGATGAAGTTGTCACCTTTATATCATTCACTCATATCTTATTATGCCTTGTTTTATGCTTTAGTTCATCTACGCCCAGTGAATATGCTTTTAAAACTTCTATTACTAAAGTTAGTAAAAGCAATAGATAAGAAGGCTAAAAGACAATGCATTCTCTCTCTCTCTCACACACACACACTCTCTCTCTCTCTCTCTCACACACACACACACATTTTTTAAATACCCAGAAATTTAAAATAGGATAAACTGGAAAAAGAAATTTGATAAATCACACAAAAATAAATCATGGATTTAGTAGTCTTCATATGAGTTATAGCAAGATACTTACTCAAAGCACAGAGTAGTCAGTATTTTTCACAGCTATTCTGTCTAAGAATTGTCACTGTCATTGCTATCTACTGTAATTCTAGAGGAGAAAGTTATATCTTAGTGATTTAAGCCTCAATTATATAACATTTAGAGAGCTTAGATACATGACTGTCAAATTGAAGAAGAAAGTTTCAAGATGTTTCCATTCAAACCCAACCAAGCAAAAACAAGTGGGTGATGAGGAACAATTTTTTTAAAAACATATCACATATCTCAGGATCTGTAAACATACCTTTCTGGTTGGAGGGCTACATGAGTGACTACTGTAGGGCACAATGAAGTCTACTTAGTCTTTGTGATCCTTTTGAGCCTGTACCATTCGCTGTGAGTTTCAGTATCTCCTCCCCCTCATTTCATTCCCTTTATCTCTGCTCTCCTCACCTCCCTTCAACCCAGGCGCTTTCTCTAAGATTTCTGTGGTTTGGGAAAACTAGCTGTTCTTAATTATGTATGTTACAAATCTTTTTGACTTAAATATTGACCCGGATTAAAATATTCAAAAGCCACAAATGTGCTCCCTAGGTTTTCTTGCTCCATAGTGAAAGCTTTAAAATATCTCTTTATGAACAACAAAGGAATTTAGGTTAAATACTAGGTTTAAATTTTAGGCTTAAAAAACTAGGAAAGTCTATACTGAAGAGGAAGAGATTGAACCTACATCAACTCAGTTGTGAAATTAGCGGCCTTGAACATTTCTTACATGAGAGATTAGAATGGTGCTTACCAGGGACTTCAGGGAGGGGAAAACAGGGAGATGACGGTCAAGGGGTATAAAGTTTCAATTCTGCAAGATGAACACGTTCTGGAGGTCAAACATGACTACAGTTAACAATATTGTATCATATACTTGAACTTTGCTAAGAAGGTAGGTTCTGAGTGTTCTCACCAGAAAGGAAAATTTTTAAAAAACAAAACAAAAGGAAAAAATAAAATGCTATGGTGAGATTACAGATATGTTAGCTACCTAGATTTTAGTGGGCATTTCAAAATGTACTCATATACTCAATCATCAAGTTATATAACTTAAATATATACAATTTTAAATTGTCAGCTATACCTCAAGAAAGCTGGAATAAATAAAGGAAAATTACTTGTATATTCATACAAATCCACGTAGATCTACAAAGCACTGAACCACTATACCAATATATATAAGTGCACTCATTAGTTATTATAACACCTACACAGCCTCCTGAATCGTTTGCAGAAAATGTAACTTGATAAATTAAGGAAAATGGCAGTTTCACACTTGAATTAATAAGTAATTTTTGCTGCAATTTCAGTTCATAGCCTCCCAAATTAGTACCAACCTGTTGGGTCCCACAGTCACACTCCTCTCCTGCTTCCAGCTTTGCATTACCACACACGGCTTGCTGTTTGAAAAAAGGATCTAATCGAGGCTGATTGTGAAGACACTGGGACTTCTGTTTTGAAATAAAATGTGCAAAGTCTTCGATGCTGCAGTTACTAAAGATCTTCACACCACTGAAATGACTAAAGACACATCAAACTTCAAATTTTAATGTAAGGGTTTCCATAAACTACCTACCCTTAGAATAAACCTATATAATAGCATTCCACAACAGACCAAATTCCCAAGTCTGTGAGTGTCAAAGCTTTCCATCTCTGGGCATGAGGAGTCAACTGTGCAAGCAGTAAATCTTTTAGTGGAAGTAAATGACTAATCCATAAAGTTTTAATGGCTCTCCGATGACACTTATTCATGACACTGCTCTCTCTTGTTTAAGCTCCTATTTTCCAAAGTGCCCCAATTGCTGTTTCATTTGTGCTCTTTCTTTTTATAACTTCTAAGTGCTGGGACACCCCTGCATTAAT